CACTGGACTCTATCTTAACTTAGGTACACTGGACCATCATACAGATCACACTGGGATCTCAATCTTAGAGTACACTGGACTCTATCTTAATTTTGGTACACTGGACCATCATAGATTTGGTTCCGTTGTGGTAACCATATCCCTTTTGATACTAAGACATGCTATCTGTAATATACCTTTTAGCAAATAATAAAATAATAGAACAGTAACTCAAGCCAAAACTAAAACTTAATTATGTACTGTGTAAAGAACACAAACATTCCATACTATTCTAAAATTATAATTAATAAAATAAAATGCACTCTGGGCAAAATGTTCCAATCTTAAAAATCTATAATAAGTGAACTATACAATTTTACTTAATTTATAACTTGAGGTGTAAACAACTTTAGGCGGTCGCTAGAAACAACCCCCTTAAAACGCCTTTTGTCCTTTGTAAATGAGACCACTCTGTATCGATCATTTCCTAAAGCAGCTACTATTTTAACAGGGCCAATATATTTTGGAACTAATTTTCCACTTGATAACCCTTGTGGAAATTTTTCTCTGAGAAAGTCTTACTTTCTCTGAAAAAGTCTGAATAATACTTATTAAGTCGGAAAAAGTCAGAATAAGACTTATTAAGTCGGAAAAAGTCTGAATAATTCTTATTAAGTCAGACTAATAGCAAGATTTGGGAGTCTTCTGGAAGAGTTAATAAGACTTTTTAAGACTTTTTGTAGAGAAATGGTACTACGGAGATAAAAATAAATATCCGAAATAATTCATAGAGGTTGTATTTGGTTATCGTAAAATAAAACACATAGAAAAGTATTTATTAACATTTTTCCTGTTGTTATAAGCCAAGTTTATTGCATAATTACCTATATAATAACATAGGTAAGATGTAATAATTAGGTATAACAATTATAATTTTATACATACGATGCGCTTGACATGCATGCTTCCACCATAGAAAAAGGAGTTGCCACTGTACGTTTTATTTTAATAGTTTCTTTTGAAACACGCAAATATTTACCTATCTAAACATTGTTACAAACAATAGACGTAAGACGCAGTGTTGCCAACTCGAAAATAACAAATAACGCTACAACAATATCAAAATTCCGCTACGCTCCGCTACAGCCGAATCTATCCTAATTCAGCTACACCCGCTCTATTTTGGCTTAAAGTTTGGAATCCAAACTTTGGATACAATTTTTTTTAATGCAAATAAAGACAAGAAATGTTAAGCAAAATACTTTCTTCAAGTACCTAATAAATATAAAAAACAGGTAACAAAAAATCCTTATATAAAACCAAAACAAAAATATTCTAACGCTGGAAGTCCCGCCCGCCCGTAAAAGATAAACAATACGCAAGCCGCGGTAGCATTTATAAATCCTACGGCGGCTATAAATAGCATTTTACGGGAGGGCGGGAGAAAGTACGAAAGGAAATCTATAAATAAAGCTAAGCACAAAAGATTTTAACCCTTCATTAGTCTCACTGTTTTCTGAAACGCCATTAGTCGATTCGATGTATGAGACCGAAAGTTAAAAATTACGTTCATTAAATATCTTGTGTGTGTATTGTGTGTAATTTTTAAGAAAAACACTATTTTAATATTTTTAAATGTAATGTTTTTAATAAACAAACAGAACAAACTATCAATATAAGAAAAAAAATTAGTGTTTTAAATGTTTTACTAAAACGTATTTTTAAAAAAACTAAATTCCGCTACGTTTTGCCAACATTTTGTTCCACCGCCGCTACGCCGCTTTTGGGGGTGAATCCCGCTATGCGTAGCGGAATTCCGCTACGGTTGGCAACACTGGTAAGACGTAATATCGAGAGACCAGCTTAGCTAGCTGACCAATTAGAGCACAGCTGACCTGTCAGTGGGACACAGTGTTGCCGTTTGCAAGTATTTTACTCGAAAATCGGGTATTTTCATAATATTTGCGGGTGATTTGCAAATTTCTATCAAAATAATAATAAAAGAAATTTTCAGTAAATAATATTGTATATTTACTAAATATGCACAATTATTTTATTCTATCTTGTTACATTTTTATTATTATTTTAGTATTTTGTAATTTATGGTCAGGAACTTTTATGGCAACACTGTACGTAAACACGAAGATCAACCATGATACAAAGATGAATGAAACACGAAGATCAACCATATTTGTTTATGAGTCTATCGAAAATATCATGTCTATAGACTTAATATCAATTAATATTAACTCCTTTTTCTATGTTGGAAACAATGAAAGCATGTTAAGCGCATCGTATGTATAAAATTATAATTGTTATAATTATTACACCTTACCTATGTTAGTATATATATATATATAATATAATTACCTATAGGTAATTATGCAATAAACTTGGCTTATAACAACAGCAAAAATGTTAATAAATACTTGTCTATGTGTTTTATTTTACGATAACCAAATACAACCTCTATGAATTATTTCGGATATTTATTTTTATCGCCATGGGTACCTACCATTTCTCTACTAAAAGTCTTATTAAGTCTTAAAAAGTCTTATTAACTCTTCCAGAAGACTCCCAAATCTTGCTATTAGTCCGACTTAATAAGACTTATTCAGACTTTTTCCGACTTAATAAGTCTTATTCTGACTTTTTCCGACTTAATAAGTATTATTCAGACTTTTTCAGAGAAAGTAAGACTTTCTCAGAGAAAAATTTCCACAAGGGAATCCTTTTATTAGTAGGGTTCGTTCTACTAAAACGGTATCTCCCTCTCTGAATTGCATTGGCTTTGCTCTATGGCTGTCGTACCTTTCTTTCATCTTTTCAGCTACTTTATCAAAACGTTCCTTTGCTTGAACTCGAATTTCAGATAGATTTTTCCGCTTTGTGCTTGTTAGACGGACTTCGTTGTCTAGCACTGGTCTAAAACCATAAAAAGCTCGCTGGGCGCTATACCTGTTGTCGAGTTTGGAGTGCCATTAACTCCTCGTTGGACTTGAATCAAATAATGGTCCCAACTATCCTGACTTCCGACACTGGCGGTTAAGGACTCTAAAATGGTCCTGTTTAATCTTTCCACTTGTCCATTACTTCTTGGGGACGCTATAGCATTTTTCACGTGTTTTATTTTGTTTTGTTCACAAAATTCTCCAAACTCCTTACAGTCAAACCCTTTTCCTCGGTCCGTTATGACCCGTGTGGGGGCATGAACCAGCTTAATAAGTTCTTCTAACTTTTTACAGACGTATTTGCTCCAAAATGGAATCATGGGCATAAAAGGCGACGTCTGGAATTTGCTTTGAATCATCAAAACTGGGCTGCAAATGACTGAGCCCAATGTCTTTTCACAGATGAATCACGGTTTTCTGAGGATCCCGATACCAACCGCCTGCGTGTGTGGCGGAGAGTGAATGAACGTTACGAAGAAGATTGTACGGTTGGCGTTACACCTTTCGGTGGTCGTTCAATTACAGTTTGGGGAGACCGTCGTACTAAAGTTGTACTTTTCGTCCATGAGACAGTTAATGCTTTACGATACTTGGAAAGAATTCTGGAACCAATAGTTCTCCCTCTGTCCCATCAAATAGGTGAACAGTTTGTATATATGGATGATAACGCAAGACCGCATCGAGCCAACGTGGTAAATGAATTTTTCCAACGAGAAAATATCACCAGAATGGAATGGCCGGCGCTTTCGCCGGACCTCAACTCCATTGAAAACGTGTGGGATGCGCTTCAAAGAAGGATGTTAGATCGCCAAATTAAACCACATGGAATTAAAGAGCTGGGAATTGCTCTTCAACAGGAATGGGAAGCCATTCCGGGTGACCTCATCAATAATGTCATCAGGAGTATGCCTCAAAGATGTCAGGAGGTGATAAGGAGTAGAGGGGGCCCTACCCATTATTGAATATTTTTTATTAACAAATCGTTATTCATTATTATTGTTATTGTTATTGCTTTAAAAATTAAAATAAAACTTTTTGACTTTCATGTGTACTTAAGATGGTTAAAAAATCATATCTTTTAAAATAAATGACGTAAGACCAAAATCCAAAAAAGCACGCAGCGCTAAGACGTAAGGCTCTATGATGACCTTAAAATAAATTATACAGGGTGACCCATTTACCTCCTGCACATTAATAAATTTAATGTTAAAATCATAGCTTTACAAATCACCCTTTAAAATTATTTTAAATCAGGATAAATGAATGCAGTCGTGCACACTTACTGCTAAAGAAATGACTTTTCTAACAAAAAAAAATTAACAAGATACGTCCATCCATTCAAAAGTTACAACCTATCAAAGTGGGATAATTTTTTTGGCGAACCACTTCAAAAAACGATCAGTGTATTTGCAGCTCATGTGTCCGAATACTTTTCGGCTCTTATACTTTGTTGACGTTTTTACCTTCATAGTCATTGAATATTTTGTGATGAATAGAAATCCGATATACAAAATTCAAGGAGCTGAATACTTCTCTACGGGTTAAGTTTCTCAATACCTTTTTGAAGTATTTGCAGTCAAAGTTTATGTATGTTTTGATTTCTACACCTGAGCCAAGCATTCAAATCTCGTGCTGATAAATATTATTCATTCTATCTTACATAGACGTTTTTACCTTTATAGTCTTTGAATATTTTGTGATGAATAGGAATTTGATATAGGAAATTTAAGGTGCTGAATACTTCTTGTAATATTGGGGATGGTTTTGGGATTATATTAATAAAACGTTGCTTCGGAAAGTTGACTAATATCACATTTATTTAGTAAAGTCAAAAGTGACCATTTCACAGGACATTTGCAAATCGACTGGCGTTGCATGCGTTTCCTTATTCTCACGCATGCGCGTATATAACACCCCTGGCCTATTAATAAATACTATTTTGTAATAATACATATTTAAAGCTTTGTACAAATTCTCAAATATACAATCACACTAACAAATATTCTGTAATCCTCAGACTTAATATTTAAAATTTAATATATGTAATCCCTATACAATATACATGCTGTCTTAATCAAAATTTAATACATAATCATTATATTTTGTAGGTTTCTTAATTATTCTTTTATTTGTAGTGTTTTTACTTAACAATAAGTTATCACTATTATTTTTACAATTATGTACCTTAACGGCCATATTTAAATCTTTTTGTGAATTTATACTTGCCTCCTTGGTTGTGCAGGTGGTTGCATTGTCGTTCTGGCTTGCTAAGTTGGGATTTTCTGTGTCATTTGGTTTGCTTAAAGTTTGTACTTGCGAATCTTGTTCCTTTGGTATTGTTTGGTCTTCCTTTCGTAAATCCGTGTCATCTGTACTTGTACTTCTTGCCCCTAAAAGAAGTAAATGGCTCTAAAGGCCGTATTACAGCCGGCAATTCTTTTGGCAATTGCAATGAAAATTGCCGTAGGCATGCGCGTTAGAGACATTTCGACGAATCTCTTGCAATTGCCAAAAATAGGTCCGGATGGATTTTTATTGCCGTTTCACGGCAATTCTGGGGTGAAATCTGGTAACTTTTATGTAACCAACCCTACTACAAATTCCCTAAAGAGACGCTGTTTGACTTAAACAGTTTAAGGTTATTTGTTTTATGGTTGACATTTTGTTCAAAGTTCTAGTATCCATTTTACTTATTAATTTTTAAATATCTCTACTATATAACAAATAAACTTAGTGTTTACAAAATCTTATATTTTTCTTCGGTTGGTAGCACGGTAATAAACAGCAAGTTGTCTTGCCATTTCTGACTGTAAAACAACATGCAATACGGCCTTGAAAACTTGATGGCAAGAATAATTGCTGCAAGAAGAATTGCCGGCTGTAATACGGCCTTTAGGTACATTGGGTACTTTAATATTTCTTTTTACTGGCGGTGTTTTAGTACTTTTCCCTTCCTCCTGTCTGTCGAAGTACTCTCCCCTTCTGATAATCTGATTAGCATGTCTTTTGTAGACTTTACCATCCTCCAATCTGCAATTGTAAACAACTCTGCCTATTTTTTGAATCACCTCAGCTTTTACCCATTTTATCTGGTTTACCAGCCTATACTCCCTTATCATGACCTTTTCTCCTATGGTAAAATTTCTAATTTTTCTTTTTGTTTTATGTTGGTGCAGGTTTTTATTCTCCTCGCTGTTTTTCTCTTCTATTTCTTGATTTTCCTTTAACATATCCAACCTAGATCGGATTTGTCTATCTAACATCATCACAGAGGGTGCCTTTTTGGTAACACAGTGTGGTGTAATTCTGTAAGAGAATAAAAATTCCGAAACAATCATGCTCAGTGTTTTTTCATTGTTCTTTGGGTCCAATAAACGAGTTTTTAGATTTCTTTTAAATGTTTTTACACTGTTTTCAGCCGCACCATTGCTAGCTGGGTGTGCAACAGGTGATGTTGTTAGCTTTATACCATTTCTTTTCAGGAAATCTTGTATATTTCTTGCTACAAACTGTTTAGCATTGTCACTTGTTATTTCTCTTGGTATTCCCCATCTTCCAAATGCTTCTTTCAGCTTTTCTTCAGTCTCCACTGATGTCATAGTTTTAACCATAAAAACTTCCACCCATTTTGAGTATGAGTCGGTCATTATTAGAAACATTTGTCCTTTTATTGGTCCACAATAGTATAAATTTATCCTACACCATGGTTTCTCCTCCGTTTTCCAAGAAATTGGTTCACATTTTGGTGGTAACTGGCTGTTCTCCAAGCAGTATATACAGCTTCGACATACCTCCTCTATCTCTTCGTCTAACTTGGGCCAATAAACATAGGATCTTGCTAAATACTTTGTTTTGGTCATTTCAAAGTGGTGGCTGTGCAATTCCTTTAAAATTTCTGTTTGCAGCGATGTTGGTACTACGATTCTATAACCCAAAAGTAAAATATTGCCTTCTATGGTCAATTCTTCTTTCCTATTTTTAAAATTTTTCAATTTTGGGGTCACTTTGTTTGGCCAACTGTTACTGTTTACATAACCCATAACTTCTTGCAATGTCTCATCTTTTTTTGCCTCTCTTCTAATGTCGTCATTATTTAAAGGCCAATCCTTGATGGTTTCCTTGTAATTCAGGTATTCCCCCGTGTCTTCTGGTATTTTATTTAGCTTCATCGGTTTTCTTGAAAGATAATCTGCAATTACATTTTTAGACCCACTTACGTGATTGATTTCATAATTAAAATTTGATAAGAATACAGCCCACCGCTGTAAACGGTTAATGTACATAACAGGTAACTTTTTATCATGTTTAAAAAGGCTCACCAGTGTCTTTGCATCAGTCTTGATAGTAAATTTGATTCCATGCAGATACTGGTAGAATTTTTGCAATGAATAATATATAGCTAGTCCCTCTAAATGAACAGGTGAATACTTTTCCTCACTTGAGCTTAAAGTTCTAGAAATGAAGGCAATTGGCCTTTCCTTTCCATTAGGCATAATGTGTGCGAGGATACCTTATATACCTTTCTGAGATGCATCTGTCGTCAGAGTCACTGGTAGGTTTGGATCGAAGTGAATGAGCACCGTATCAGATACCAATATCTTTTTTACTTCATTAAATGCATCTTCGCATTTCTTGTTCCATACTACTTGCTTTTCATTCTTCAATAAATTATAAATTGGTTTGAGTATCTCTGATGCTCTTGGGATGAAACTTCGGTAATAATTTACCATCCCCAAGAATGCTCTTACTTCTGTTATTGTATTGGGTCGCTCAGCCTCCATAATTGCTTTAATTTTCTTCTCGGATTTCTGTATACCTTCCTTTGAGATACGATGACCTAGTACTTCTAGACTTTCTTTAAAAAATCTGCATTTTTCTGGTCTTAGAGTCAATCCAGCCTCTTTCAGTTTCTCTAAAACCTTTCTTAGTGTTTCCCAATGTTCTTCTTTTGTTTTTCCTGTTATTATTATATCATCTAAGAAGTTGACTACGTTATCTATACCAGCTAGCAGGCTCTCTACATTTTTTTGAAAGACGAAACTAGCAATTTTTATTCCAAAAGGTAAAGGATTCATTTTATACAGACCCTTATGTGTTGCCCATGTCAGCACTTCACTTGTTTCTTCATCAACCTCAAATTGCATGTATGCTTTTGCCATGTCTAGTATTGTAAACTTCTCACCTTTTCTTAGTTTGTAAAATATTTCTTCTGTACGTGGTAATGGGTATTGCATTTCTAATAGGTGTTTGTTTATAGTTGATTTATAGTCGGTACCCTGCTGAAAAAACCAGGCATGGGCGGACGTAAATTCCGGATGAAATAACAGTCAAAACCGGACGAAAGCAGATGAAAATCTTATCCGCCCATATCTGTTTTATGCCCGCTCTACTACATCCGCGAACGTCCGGCTTAACCTGTTTTTCGTCCGGTTAGTGCACCATCGTCAATTATCCGCAATCATCTGCTTTTGCCTGGCAATACATACATTGCGTTTATGTCTGCATTGATCCGGTCTCGTACGTCAACGTCGGTTTTCGTCTGGTTTCATCCGCGCTTGCCTGCAATTTGTTTGTCTATTTTCGTCTGCTTTAATCCGCGCTTGCCTGCTTTTTGTGCGTCGGCTTTTGTCTGGATTGATCCGCACATGCCTGTTGCATCCGCGAACGTCCGGATTAACATGTTTTTCGTCCGGTTAGTGCACCAACGTCAATTATCCGCAATCATCTGCTTTTGCCTGGCACTACATATATTGCGTTTATGTCTGCATTGATCCGGTCTCGTACGTCAACGTCGGTTTTCGTCTGGTTTCATCCGCGCTTGCCTGCAATTTGTTTGTCTATTTTCGTCTGCTTTCATCCGCGCTTGCCTGCTTTTTGTGCGTCGGCTTTCGTCTGGATTGATCCGCACATGCCTGTTGCATCCGCGAACGTCCGGATTAACATGTTTTTCGTCCGGTTAGTGCACCAACGTCAATTATCCGCAATCATCTGCTTTTGCCTGGCACTACATATGTTGCGTTTATGTCTGCATTGATCCGGTCTCGTACGTCAACATCGGTTTTCGTCTGGTTTCATCCGCGCTTGCCTGCAATTTGTTTGTCTATTTTCGTCTGCTTTCATCCGCGCTTGCCTGCTTTTTGTGCGTCGGCTTTCGTCTGGATTGATCCGCACATGCCTGTTGCATCCGCGAACGTCCGGATTAACATGATTTTCGTCCGGTTAGTGCACCATCGTCAATTATCCGCAATCATCTGCTTTTGCCTGGCACTGCAAACATTTCGTTTATGTCTGCATTGATCTGGCTTCATCCACAAAGGTCTAACTTATTTTTCAAATAAAAAAATTAATTGTTTTTTCATCTTAACTACGATTTGGTAAGGCAATATTATTACGTTTTTTAATTGCAAATATATTTTAGAGATACCTAAACCAAATGTCAACACACTATATGGATATGTTGTATATGTGTACATATATTATAAGTATTAAAAAAGTAATTAAAAATATTAACTAATATTTTTATTAAAATAAAATTAATATTTGCAAAATTCGAAAAAATTTCAAGGAATTTTCCCACTTTTGCTAAAATTAAAAGCAATAAAACCATGTTTAGAACAAATAATTTATTAAAATATAAAATAAAAACTTCTTCCAAAAATAAAAACTTCTTCCTAAAAATATATATATATGTATATATAATATAAAATAAATTATTCATTAACTCACCAATTTGTATAAAAGTAAAACATTATTTAACCAAGTGCAGGCATTTGCGGATGAATGCAGACATAAAACGAAATGCAGGCAATCGCGGATAAAAACGTACGAAATCAGAAATTTGCGGATAAAACCGGATAAATGCAGACATAAAACCAAATGCAGGCATTTGCGGATGAATGCAGACATAAAACGAAATGCATGCAATCGCGGATAAAAACGTACGAAATCAGAAATTTGCGGATAAAACCGGATGAATGCAGATATAAAACCAAGTGCAGGCATTTTCGGATGAATGCAGACATAAAACGAAATGCAGGCAATCGCGGATAAAAACATACGAAATCGGACATTAGCGGATAAAACCGGATGAATGCAGACATAAAACCAAGTGCAGGCATTTGCGGATGAATGCAGACATAAAACGAAATGCAGGCAATCGCGGATAAAAACGTACGAAATCAGAAATTTGCGGATAAAACCGGATAAATGCAGACATAAAACCAAATGCAGGCATTTGCGGATGAATGCAGACATAGAACGAAATGCAGGCAATCGCGGATAAAACCGGACGAAATCAGACATTTGCGGATAAAATCGGATGAATGCAGACATAGACGAATTGCAGGCAATCGCGGATGAAACCAGACGAAAACCGACGTTGACGTACGAGACCGGATCAATGCAGACATAAACGCAATGTATGTAGTGCCAGGCAAAAGCAGATGATTGCGGATAATTGACGATGGTGCACTAACCGGACGAAAATCATGTTAATCCGGACGTTCGCGGATGATATTTACACCCGGTATTGCAGGTAAAAGCCGACATGACGGATGAAATCAGATGTGGCAGGCAAAAGCAGCCATAACCGGACATAAAACCAACTTGGTTTTTCATCCGCCCATGCCTGGTTTTTTCACACACTCTTAATTCTCCATTATCTTTTAAAACTGATACTGATACTTAAAAGTAAGTAGTGGGGCCCACTGCTAACTTTTCGCAGAGTGGGCCACAGGACGACCTGTGCCCCTTTAAAAATTCCAAAACGCCAAGCGTTTCCATGGCCAGTAATTTTGCCTTAGTAAGGGATCCTTACTTAGCAGCTCAAGGCATTCCACCTTTATAGGCCTATGTATTGTGCTAGAGAGGCGAGAGGTATGCATGGGTTGCCTACCTATTGGCGAATTTTGAAAATAAATATTAAAATGGTATATACCAATAGGGTTCCTTGTACCTACACACCGATAAAATACCAATTCAGACCATTAGTTTATCTATTGGTATTTTCCAGTAAGAAAATTGCCAATAGAAACAAGTGGTTATTTGTATTAAATTGCGCAGGCGCTGAACATTTAAGTGGTATTTACCAATTGAATTTCAATTGGGAATTTCCTGTACTTGTAACTTCTTATAAAAACCAATTCAGACCATTAAGAAAAAAGAAACCAATGCTCATTCTGTTGAGAAACCAATAGGCCCAATAAAGACCAATTCATTCCATTCTGATTTT